TTTGTTATTTCACTTTTATGGCATGGTCTCAGGCTTTCCGCAGACCCAGGCAGGTGTTTCTGCATGAGTTATGCTGCGTTATGGCAGTTTTGAAGGCTTTTTTCTCTGCAGTCTTAGGCTTGTCTCCATTTCTCTTTTAAATCCAAAGCAGTGACTGTGGGGAACCATTGAAACATTAGTTCACATTCCCCTTACTTTGAAAAACATTGGAGTGCAGAGATCTTGATGGTGGTGCTTTCATTCTGCAAGCTGACATTGCTTGCTAACTCTTACTTCTTCTGTTATAGTAAACCCTCAAATACGATATTTCTGGAAATGAAATTTTTAGTTGCTGGGTAGAAGAGAGATAATAATCCTTTATTTATTTAAAGGTTACATTTTCTATATTCATGAAAAATTGTACTCCGTGGTGCATAGAGATGGGTGGTAAATGCTACGAAGTATCCAACAACTTGGTGAGTGGGCATCCAGCACCTCCTTCCTAGAACATATCCTAGGATCACTGCTAAATACATTTGATGCAGTTTGCAAGGTCCAAAATCCAGGAAGCAGGAACTACCAAATTTGGGTTTCCTGCATTACTTTCACTCCTGCTGTCTGAGCTGTCTGCTGCAGTCATGGGTGGGAAAAGGATTTCACGGGCTTTTTCCGTGACTGTGCTGCCATGCTACAAAGAGGATGGAATGAGGCTTCCCTGACAACTGTGATTCTGGCATACTTGAACTTCTTCAAGTGTCTGATTTTTTTACTGTGGTTCTTGATCTTTCAACTGAGGGGCTTTGGGTGAAATGTCATTCTGGTTTTACAGAAAAAATAATAGTAAGCAGTCAAAAAAAAAAAGTTTCAAGATTTCAGCAGGACTACTCGTGCTGAAAATTAAGCATGTTCATAAAACACTGTTGAATTCAACCTTGGGTTTTTTATGCTTTTAACGACTTTTATTTGAAATTATGTTGAATGAAATGTTATTGAATGATAGCTTTATAGAAATATTACTCAGCTTTCCTGTCTAGGTATTCTGAAGGACCACGGGAAACACAGAAAGGAGTCCTGTGTTCAAAATCATGCTTAAATAGTTAAGCTGTTCTCTGTGTTCCTTTATTTAACTAAGTATCTTATCAGGGTGGCTTTGAATTACTAGTAAATGAGTAAAAAATACTGTCATTTTCCTAAATGCCTTTTTTTAAGTGAATATAATTTAAGTGAATATAATATAATATAATGAAATCTTAGCCTCTGAGCCTAATTTGTAATAGTCAAGGATATGCAACAAAGAGATTGTTCTAAAGAAAGTTTTTTTTTGTGTTTTATTCTTAAAGATGGATTGAAGGAAATATGTTGAAGGCAAGTTTTGCCAGCACTGCTTAACCTGCTAGTATCTTAGAGATTATTTCTGCTGGCTTTGTGGGCCTTTTCAGTGTGATCCTTGAAAATGCTAATTAATTTCAGGATTGCTGTGTGTGTGATATGCTTTGACATACACAGCAAATTAATAATAATATAATAATCTTTCTAAAAGAATTTTGAGAGCAATTTATAGTTCATGCCAGATGTCAGTTGACTGAGTAATTTAACACACTTGTGTAACTGAAACGTAATAGCTTTTGCGAGCTTGCCATGCTGCTTATGGATATGAATGACAAAATTTATGGGTTTTTAGCTATGTGCATAATCCAAAAAAATCACTCCCTGTTGCAGGGAATAAGCAGTATCACAAGTGAATATGTTTTAATCATCTGAAACATATAGTCTAAATACTATTTTATTTGTTTAAACCACAAAAAGGCATAATTCCTCTAGAGGAAGTGCTGTGAATGCAAGGCCGAGAAAATTGTTTTTGTCCTATCAGTAGCTGCAGAGACCACATCTCCATAAAAGTCGTTAAAGCAGCAGAGACAGCACTGTCAGCTTAGAAATTGAGCTAGAAGATCTACTAATCCTCTGGCTCTGGATTCAGAAGTGTTTCTTCCTATGTTTGTGCCCGCTGTAGTAGACTTGAATCTTGCAGATTCACCTTCACCTGGATGTGACCCTGGCAATGAGGGTTAGGGAAACTAGGGATCCACCTTGCCAGACTTGAACTGCCTAGAAACTATTCAGCCTCAGCTGGACCTCCTCTAGAGCGGGTAGAGAGAGACAGGCACCTCTGGAAGGACGCTCATTCCCAAGAGGTAGGTAGGTGGATGAATTGCTTCTTGTAGGGCACCCACTCTAAGTAAGATGAATATCTCTGTCCTTTCATGTAAATGATGGTAAACTCCAGAATTCAGTGGAGGGTGTTTCCTTTACCTCTCAGAAAAATTATGTCACAATCATCCTGCAAGTTATGTCATTGAGCATTTTTAATTTGTTATAATTTTACAAGAATTGCCATACTTAATTTCTTTTGTTTCACCATTTAAAGCAAAGCCTCTCCCTCAGTTCTAGGTTCCATGTAAAGTGTCTTAGAAGTTCACGTCCATAGTCCTCTCTGCAATGTGATGGTTTGTCCTAGGATATTGGCTCGTGAAAGCCTTCCCAACTCTCCACTCTGCTGCTAACTCCATCTCCATCATGCCTCTTTTTCTCTCTTCCTAAGCCATGCCAGAAATCATTAAGGTTACAAATGTGGGGCTTGTCAAGCTAAATTAAATGGGGTAACCACTCAGGAGTGTAAGGAAAGGAGTTACAAGTTCAGTTCCTGCCTGTCATTGGTTTCCTTCAGCTGAGACTCTCTAATCTCAGCTCCTATAGAAACAGTAGGCTGCGTTGAATCTTGGGTTTTATTTTGGTTTTCTGTTTGGTTTTGGTTGTTTGTTTTTTGTTTGGTTTTGGTCTTTTGTTTGTTTGGGTTTTTTTTAAGAAAAATGTTTCCCTTTCAGTCTTAAAAGTAACAACCAGAATATCTTGGGAAAATTACACACAGGAATTTCTGACACATGCAGTTATATGCCCAAGTACATCTTTGAACCAGAAATCAACATGTAGAAGCCAGGGGAAGTGAGGGGAGGAAGTCTGGAAGTGGATTAGTTTAATCAAGAATGGATGAGAAGTCAGTGAACTGTACAAGACCACACTATATGCTCCACTTGCTCTCCTGCACTGAAATCCCACTGATCTAGAAGAGCTGTTACTCAAACGCACAAGCAAGGGGGCACATATGATCCGTGTTGTCTCCAAGAAACCTTACAAGGATTATGAATGTGCTGGGCTGTTGATTGCTTCTTACCATAATTTCCTTCAGCTCCTCACAACTTTAGTATGTTATCTTTATTTTTTCATGTAAGGTTAGTAGTCAAGAGGCCCTTGAGTGTAGCCCACAAATGCAGTGCCTAGCAAGGAGGGACCTTGACCTTGAAGACCTTCCACAGCTGAGATGAAAAAGAAAAGTTACAGTGTGCTCAGGATCTTTCACGAGTAATTTTCCACTTTTTCACAGGAAACATTTGACATTGTTATCCTATTGACACATGCTATGGTAAACTGCAGGACTCTTAGGGGGCTGGCTACAAAACAGCGTTTCTCATCAGTAGTCAGTGAGGAGCTGATGGTCTATAAGGTATCACAGACTATACACATTCTATAAACCAATCAAAACCAAGACCCAGGCATGCATTCCCATGCACAACAATGAGGGGTCAATGTTGGGAAAGTAAGGATAATGCTGGAAGTGCTGCTCAAATTTTATTGGCTTATATGTGAAACTGATCTTGGCAGGAGGCAGTCTGTTTTACTTTTTCTTCTCAAAAACTGTGCCCCAGAAAATGCAAGCAGGCCCTGTGCATAGGCACTATAAATCTGTAGTGCCTATAAACCTATATGTTCTCACCATACCCGATAGACAGATTTTAGTGGTTTTATATGAGATTACCTAGACATTGTTGATATGAGGGATAGCTAAAGCTCTGGCTCTGATATCCCCATCTAAGGAGGTTTGCCAGCATCACAGTAAAGCTGAAAAACATCTCTGAGGCATGGACTGTCTCTCATTTTGATTGAGGCTCTTCAATGCAGCTCAGAGGCTCCTCTCATGAAGATAAGAGACAAATATTGCTTTTTTTCTGTCTGTCTGAGACCAAAAGAAGTAGGGGATAGACCGATGGTCTACAGGTAGGGCTTTGGTTAGCTCATGTTGCCCCAGACAGCCTTTATCTTGTTTACATCTTCCTGCAGATTTGCCAGAAGTCGGCAGAGATGTGTACAAGTACATCAATGCAAACTTTCTTCTGCATAACAAAGACAATTTAAAAACAATCTGTATTCTTTGTAAGAATATCTATGTTTGCTTAAATTACAACATTGCAAGATTCTTGTTAGAGATGACATGATTGATAGTTTTGATAATAGGCTTGAAAATCTTCCTGATGTAAGTCGTGCCTCCTGCATTATTCTGACTAGAACCGTGTGCTGTGGTTCTAAGAAGTAATTAGCTTATTTATTGTAACAACCCATTTAATGGAACTTTAATTAGGAGTGGTCCTTATGGTAATTTTAGGTTTCATGTGTGTAGGAGGAATTTTGGATCGACATAATCTTTAACACTTTCAGCTTGGCATTTTTATTGGTGTGTTAGTAGAAGACCTGTGTTTCCAGTTTACTTCTGCGGCAGTGCCACGAACTAAATGCAGTTTATTAAGAGGCAGTGACTTGCCAAATGCTGTCCTCATAGCGAGAGAGGATACATGAGTAACTGCAACATCAGACTAACCATGGCTTGCAGTGGCATGTTTCTTTTCTCACTTCTGAGAGAGAGACTGTGTTGGGTTTGAGAAAACTGTAGTAGCAAGACTTGGCAGGAGTAAGGTGCTCTCTTGGGTGCATGTATGTGTGTATGGTGGCTCATTGCACACACCCCCACCCCCCCGTAATGTATGAGAAGTATAATTTTTTCCTTTGATATGAAACAAGCATGAATTTGGAAATTTAAGCACTTTTTTAAAAACAAACAAACAAACACCCACAACCTTTCTTTCTAGCCAGCTCCACTTTATTAAGCTAGCATATTTATACCAAATGGGGAGTTCTGAAGTTGACTAGAGATATCCCTAAGATCACCACTGTCATTATAAAGCTGAAAATCTGAAAAGAGGATAAAGCCCTTTTGTGTAGCAAGTAGAGCTGGTTAGATTTACATATCAAATGCATTTAGATCTTTTTTCGTCTGAGTACTTCTGAACCAAGCCTGTTCTTCAGGGCATTTGTTAAATTATGCCAGTTAGGAGTTTATAGATGGTTCCTGAGCCATTGTAAAGTGTAACTGGTTATCAGGCTTTAGATAAGTCCTGTGTGCCTTTTCTCATTGACAGTATTGGCTTTCTCCACATCCCCTATCACTGTTCCCTGTTGCTTATTCCATCCTTGTGCTTTTGTCCTTATCCTTATGCAAGTTCAACTTGTGGTACTATTTCCTGAACTGTAGGAGGAAAATGCCTGGGTTTCACAAGAGCCCTGCAAGTTATGAGTGGGTCCTCAAACAGGAGATTCCCATTGCAGCTCCAGAGCTGAGAGTGGGAGAGAGGGAGCGCATGGCTGGGAGCATTGATAGTGAAAGTGAAAATGCCCTCACCCTGCCGCTGTCAGGAAGAAAATAGTATCTAGCACTGTGCTGAAGCACACCTGGGATTGTTGGGGTGGGATCAGGCTGTGAGTCTGCTGGTGATGGTCCTCCTCCCATGCTGCACTGGCCACAGACCAGACCTTTTCCACAGACCTTCCACTGCACCACTGCTGAAGCGCTCAGTCACAGAATTTATCCCCCTCTTGAATTTGACACATATGCTTTTTGCAGAAAAGAAGGGTAAAGTGGAGAGTTCTGGGAACATCTCTGTTACACTCAGGGAGACTTGTCTGTCTGAGCCTTGAGGGAAGGGAGGACACTTGGCATGGTCAAACCCCAATTTGTACCGCACACACATACACACACAGAGACATGTGCATGCTCATACGCACATACCAGTTGTGATCAGTTCCAGCAACTATTTCATAATACAATCAATGGTTACAAAGCTGCAGTGGCAAACTGGAAGCCAGGTTGTATGTTGCTATGGATATAATAGTTTGCCTAGAAGAGTAGGTCAAGTTTTCCAAAATAATTATTGATATAGGGTGCTCAGAGGATGACTCTTTCATTGTGAACCTGATTTTCTGAAGTGGTATGCTTCTGAAAATGAGGCTCTTCAAAGCCATCTTAAGCCTTGACTATTGAAAACGTGGAACCATCTTCTCATATCCTACTATTTGTTGTCTTAGTGGTAAAAATGAAGAAAGATGAAAGAATATGAGAGCAGCACTACATTGTGAAGACATGTCAAATGGAATTGTTTATTTAGGAGTGTTTATTAATACTACTTTAAATTATTAGGCTAATTCAAGAAGTCACATTTAAGAATGTATTTAAGTGTTTGTTTAAGTGCTTTCCTGAACAGAGATTTTTTTCTGAACTGATTCAGTAACAAAGGAACTGGATTAGAACTAAAGGTAAACATCAAAGATGTCTTTAGTAAGTTAGACATAGTGGAAACACTTTTGGTTAGGTGGAAGGAACAATAGAAGAAAATATACAATAAAGTTTTTTTGAAGATTATTTTTTTCTTCTTTTGTAAATCCAGTATTTTAAAGGTTCTTGACATCCCTTTGTTTTAGCAGATGCATTATAAATGTGTGTGTGTGTGTATATATACACACACAAACTTACATGTGTATATATATGCACACTATATGCCTATGATGTCCAAATGTAACACATGGGAATAAATAAGCACGTAGCCTGCAAGCATGATGCTGTAGTCTGAAGAGGTGGGAGTTGATAGGAAAATTTGTCTACATAATAGTCCTTCCCAACAATGTGCTTGGCCAAGGTTTCCAGGTCTCCCCTTTCTGAACCACTTTCAGCCACATTCGTAACAAAAAAGAGAAAAGTCACAGGCTACCCAGTTTATCCCAGTGCTAAAGTGGACTGTGTAGTGATAAGCATTAAATACAAATTTAATTTACATAGACTGCAGCTAAATTGGGAGAGTTCTTCGCACTGAATATCCAGATTTTCTCATTATGCACAACCCAGTCTCCAGAGCCCTCCTTAGAAGTTCGTTAGCAGCTCTGATCCCTACAGAGCTCTTAAGCTCCATCTCTGCCCATACAGAATTTAGAAAATACGTGGCCTTGGATAATTGCCCATACATTAGACTGTCCTGATTAAGCAGTCCCTACTGTCCCTACTTTGCTATAAACAGTTGCATCATAAAAGTGGTAGAGAGCAGCGGAGAGAATTCCACATATTATATCCTTAAAATACAATGTTTGTAATGTTGCCTCTCTGCCCTGTCAGTGCTTGAATTGCAGAAATACTTGGTCCTGTTTCCTCTTAATAACTTCCAGTGAGAGAGCTTCTGTAATAACTAGTACTGTGGTGGTCACAGCTTTCTTACACCAGGAACTGAGAAACTTTAGCTGGAACTTGAATAAGCTGTACTAATAGTTTCCCTGAAGCTGAAGGGCTGTGCGATATATGCATACATATGCTTATCCACTCCTGCCAGGGTAGGCACATCTCCAGAGATTTAGATAGATAGTCACTGAAGCCTAGACTGAATACCAGCACTGAAGTGTGGGCTTACCAGCAGGTTACTATCCCTGGGGTTCTCCATGGTGAGAACCAGCCATTAGATGGAAGATTATAAATATTGTTGAATTTAGACGCCAGTTGTCTGGCAATTGCTGTGTCTGAGGCTGTTGGCGTGGTTCTGCAGGCCCCCCGTGCTGTGCTGTCTTCATAAGCCTTCCCAGGAGCTGTCTGGAGGAAGGGTAGTCGAGCCTGTTACATTGTATTTGGAGGAAAAAACAGAAAACTGGGTAAATAAGCTTCTTATAATTGCTTTTTCTTGTTTCAATAGTTGGGCACCCCTGAGATGGTATATTGAAATTATGAATTAGAATCCTGTCCACAAAGCTGTGATCTCTTCAGAGATGCAGATTTTTTCCATAAGTGATGATGTTTTCCAAACATCTTTTAAATAATTCATAGTCAGAAGCTAGAATGTAGAAGACTTTTAAGTAAAGTGTCAAGTCACTTCTTATTCATCTTAGTCATATTCTTAAGTTCTTGCTTTGTATTTTTCAGGGGTTTATTTTTCTGAAGCTGGTTGGTTGGGAGAGCTCAGACAATTTTTGGCCCTGTTAAGAATACCTATTAGAATACCTGTTAGATTTTCTCTCACTGTTAGGCAAACTGAAAAAGTAGGAAATTCAGTTCTGATAAATCTGCTCTCCAGCACCTCTCCAGCTCACCATATTTTTTTTTTCTCTAGAACCTTCAGAAAACATAATCTGTTAGTGTGATGTCTGCTAATCCCTCCCTCCCATTGCAATCACTTTCTAAATGTGTTGGCCCTCAGTAGGGATAGGAGGACATGACAACTCTGGGTGCAACTCAAGCATTTCAGCACCAATCCATCTCACCCAACTTTACTCATGACACTGAGCGGTTAATTTCACCCAACTTTACTCATGACACTGAGCAGTGTTGATGGTTAAAACCCTACCTTGTCATTCTCAAGCAGAAGAACAGTAGTTTCTAATAGGACAGTTTCCAGAACTAAGGAAGATATAGGAATCGTGCTATAGGATGCAAACACTGAAACACAACAGGGAAACACAGAATTTTGGATGGGGAATACATGAAATACTGTTGTGAGTTATATTGATTTGTGTTCCATTCATTAATGTCTGTATAAGTAACAATAATTTTTCTTGTAATTCTAGCAGATTCAAAGACAATTTTCTACTGCTCATTCTGTAGGAATGTTTTAGAAGAATTTCAAGAGATCAGCCATCTTTCTCTTTAGCTGAAAAAGCTGTTCTGATTTATCTCTGACAATTGTAATTGCTTGATAAGAGTTGTTATTCCCTTTTCCTGCCTGGATTCATCTACAGCTCTCCTTCTTTTTTGGTGTTTCTAAATTCCAGGTCTAGATGTTCATAAGCAGAAGGAAGGATTTGTCTTCCTATTCCTTAGCAGACTCTTGTATCCCCTCCTTCAGAACAGGCTTTGGGCTGAAATTACAGTCTCAGTGCTCAAGGTTTATCCCTGCTTGCCATCTCCTCTGCCCTTCATCCTACTTCATGTGGCTCAAGGAAGAAATATGCTGTGGTCAGGAATCCAACAAATACAACTCCCTCCAACATGCTCAGCAGATGTTTCAGTTTTCATCAGAAAAGGGCTCTTTAAAGGCATTCCTATTCACTTGAGACCTGTCTGTGGTTCTTGCTTGCTGGACAAAATTGTTTTTACTTTCTGAGAGGATGAGTGTTTGAATAAATTGAAAAAAAACCCCATGTCGTGTGTGGAGACATAAATAGTGATTTTTGTGTTTGCCCACAAAATGTTAACGTTTGATGGAAATAAAGTTGCTTGCACAAAACTTGAATGTAAAAGTATGAGTGTAGGCAGCTGGAGAAAATGCATTACAAATTTAAAAATAATTTGTATGTAATTTTCACAGTTCTCTTGATCTTTGAACTATTAGTCTCCTTTCTGTGGTTCTCCGTATTGCAGTGCAAACTTCTCAAGTTGCAGGATTATTTATCTTCGTTTAACTTTGTATTGAATCTCAATCCTCGTTTTTACTCAGGACCAGTTGCGATCTTCCTAATAAATACTCAGCTTCTGTGTTTGCCTAATATTCCACGCACTTTTGCAGTTTCCATGAAGATTAACTTGGGTGGTCTTTCATCTTTCGTCCTTCACATCCACACATCAGCCATAGAAGACCCTTCATTTTGCAGGCTCATGTGTTATATCTGGAAAGGCATCACTGTTTGTAGTTTAAGATGGTAAAAACAGTCGTTTTCAGTTCTAACCTCTTGTTTTCTCATATTTGGGTTTCCTCAAACTTTTGCATCCTTAGGTGACTTTTTTTTCCAGTGCTTGCTTTGTCTCCAAAATTCAGGGAAAATAAAAACATTTATATTATATGAAGGTTATGTATTGTTGAAGCTTGATTATCATATAACATGCCTGTATGAACTGCTAATTGTTTGAAAATGGGTTAATATTACTATTGTTGATACCTGGGTGTATTTATTTATTCATATTTTTGAATCTATATACGCTTGCGTGTGAACCACCATGCAGACAAAAACAATATATCTGAGCTCGGACGTGCGCTTAATCATAAAAATCCAGAAACTGCGGTTCTTTGATTGCCTGCAGTTAGTATCACATAAACCTTACTAAATGTTCTTCTGTCAGTCCACAAAATCTACAAATTATCTTTGCATTTTTCTTTTTTCTTTGCTTAAAATCAGAAAAATTAATAAAGAAAAAAAATCTTTTTAATCCCTTGATTTAGAGAATATTAAGAAAGAACTTATTCCAGCAATATTAACAAAGCCATAACATACCCTGATTTTCTATTCCTGTAGGCTTACAATATTATCCACATATTGAAGTCTATCTTATTATGAAAGTTATATGAGCACTTCAAAAAAGAACAGTGGTTTTTGTACATCAGAGACTTTAGGATTTTTAATAATTTTTTAAAGAAAAAAAATGCTGATTCCTTGAAACCAAACAGTGAAACAGTACATTTTGATAATTACCCATCTCAAAAATACCTTGAATGAATGCATTAAAACACCTTGTTGTGAACCTTTTATTTTATTTGAAAATATTTCTCGTTCCCTGTTTCCTTTTGGTTCTCCCTTTTTTATCTCCCTGACTCTTCCTCTCTTTCTTTTTCTTTCTCTTTCTCTCATTCCTTCTTTCAAAATAACCTTTTAATTTAGAATTGACATAGAGTTAGAGCTCATAAATATATGTGCAATATTTTGCTTGATCCAGGCTGAAATATTTTCTGTATTTTATTCAATTTTTTTTTAAGATTCCAACATGTTAGAAAAAAGGGATCAGAATAATCTTCCTAGTAAATGAATTCAGTTACTCACTCTTAAAAGTAGTTTCCCCCCTCCTCCACCAGTCTTACAAGAAGGCTGTTTATGTATTTACCTCCCTTTATGCTTAGATTAGGTTGCTGGGTTTTTTTCAAGGTAGTACTAGTGCTAGCATCCTGTAGTACAACTACTTATTTGCTTATCCCAGTGTTGTTTCTTCTCAGGTATTTGCCAAGAGCCATCATACCTCCCTTCTGGCTTCCCTTTGCTGAACTGACAAATCCAGAACTTGATTTCAAGAACGTATTGGAGGTTCTTCATCTTCTTTGCTGTCTTGGCAGCCTTTTGCCTGACCATGACTGATGAGACTGTACAGTCTTCCCAATGAAGCCTTGCCCGCATCTAGGCTTATAGCATAAAATAATTTCCTCTAATAGCATCCCACTGGCCTTTTATTTTCCAGGTGTATATCACACACCTGGCATACAGATATTATACTACCAAATGATACTCAAAGCCTTTTTCCTCTCACTGCCTCCAGCCATTTGTAGTCCTAACTTACAACAAGAAACAGTTTAATTAATTACAGAGCATGATCTTCCATGTTCTTATGAAACATTTAATTCTCTATTATTCCCAGTCCTTAAAGTCATTCTCTTCTTTCTTACAGAATATTCCAAAAGTCCTACATTTTTTGTAGACTGTGAAAAGTGTTTCAGGGCCATCTTTGCTATTACTATGAGTTTCTTAATGCAGAATTAGTGCTCTATTTTGTGCATATATAGTATTAGGAAGCCCCTGGATGCATTTAATTGACTGCACAAAACCTATAGTGTGAACACTGCCCTTGGTCATACCCGTTACTCATGTGAGTAGCGTGAACCTTCAGTTCAAGTGGATTCAACAGTCCCAAAGTGTCTGCCCTATCCTGGCAGTCAGGGGGCCTCTGAGCACATGGGGCGTCTTATCCCAGTACGGAGCTGCAGGGCCTGAGCACAGCTGGGGACTGGGTCGTCTTAAATCAAGACTTCATCTAGGGAAGGATGCAATTCTTTTTCAAACATGTATGACATCCTAGATGCTTTGAATCTTCATCCTGTGTGTTTAAACCTTGCTCTTGGTCTTAAGAGTGTGTCTTGCTAAAAAGACAAGCTTACTAAAATCAATTTTGTGGACATATAAGTGCAGAAAGTCTATCTTAACAGGCACATATGTTGTTTTGATTTTATACTGACAGTTATAAAATTAACCCTTCTTCTTACCTGACAGGTTAAAAAGTCAGGATTTCTAAGTATTTCTTAAATATTTGCGACATGAAACCTGTACCTGGTTTCATCAGTTTGACTTGGGCAGGGAATTTGACATTTTAATTGCTTCAAATTGAGGCAAAAGAAATGCAAAGAAGGAAAACCCTCTGATTTTTTTTTTTTTTTTTTTTTTTTT